TTTGATAATTTGATAATATTGATTATATCATCACCACTGTGACATGAGATCACGTTTGCTTTATCTCAGGATGATTCGGAGAGTCTGCTGCTTCCTGTCCGGATCTGCACGTCACTTTCACAGAGTTCTGATCTCACACCTCCAGAGATCATGGTGAACGATCTCAAAGTGGTTAGTGCAGAGGAGAAGGAGGGAAAGAGAGATGAAGGTACGTTTTGCTCTTAAAGTTAGATGAGTTCAAATTAAATGCAGTTATACATTTTTGTAGAAGAGATTTTCCGATACCAGCATCAGAAATGCCTCTGATGCTCCTGAAAAATGCTGAGTCGGGCATCGATGAGTATGAGAGTCAGTGGTAACTCAGATAAAACTGTAACTTCATTTCCCTGGATATCAATTCTTCTTTGCCACAACAAAACAGCAGTTGTTCTCTACTGCCTCTGGCAAATACTGTTTTTTAAAAGTCCCACAAGTAAAACAGCGATGTGAGCTACATGTAGGACTTCAGTTTCCAGGTTTGGCACAAACAAACCAGGTTGTCAAACTTCATAATAAAGCAATTAAATGCACTGATATCGGATCAGAACTTGGTAACGGCCTTTATGCAAAGTCCAGGTATCAGAATCGTTATTGGAACATCTCTGGCTTGTGTGCTCTTGATAGAAAGCCTTCACTTCATTTGTTTTGCATATGGTGCTCTCTCACTCTCTCTCCTTTCTCAGGGTTCAGTCCAGTTCAACACACCGCTGGACCCTCCGTCCCACAGCAAAGCTCCACTGGTCCCCCTTCACCTGCTAACCACTCCAAACCCAACAGTCTTCCTGGCTCTCCCCCCCGCACGAGCTCGTCCATTTCCAAGTCTCCACCTGAAACCTTCCGCGTTCACCTCCTCTCGTCTCCACCGCGTCCTGTGGAGCCTCCCTTTGACCCGGAGCCCAGCATCGACTCCGAGAGCTTCTGGAAAAGCTGCAACGCTGCAGGATGCACCCAGGTCATATTTACGGATTTCATTAATGAGCTGAATGACATCGCCCGCAGAATTCAGTCAGACCAGGCCAGTCAGGATGGTAAGAGTTCCTGGGACAACCCCGTTTATTCATTTGTTTTAACCCTGCAGTTTTTTTTAACTCTCTTCTTTCCTCAGATTACAATAATGCACTGAAAGTGATGGCGGCTTCTGGGAAGCTGGTGGCGATTGTTGCCAAGCAGCAGAAAGGTGAGGTTGACCTTTTTTACGTTGTTGCTCTGGAGACAGTAAGGCTGGAACATTCTGGCCCTCACGTGTAAACACTACACTTTATTTGAGGTTGTGTAAAAATTTGAGACTGAAATATCAAAATGTGCACAATGGCGCCACCTTCAGGCCAGTTTAATGGTCTGGTCACTAAATTTCATTGCAGTTTCTTTTATGGGATGTTGAGGTTAAAGTCCATTTATTAGACCTAAAAATGTCCATTTCAGTTTTTTCTAATGTCACTCAGTAGAACACAGACTTCCACCAAGGCCCAATAGAACCTTTGAAATAAATAAACCAAATTTTACACATTCATAGATTTCAATTTCTGAAATATTCTTGATTTTTTTCATCAAGATTCATCAATTTTTATCTGGGAAAACAGTGACAGTGTCCCAAAAAAATTTTTTCACAATGTTAGAGTGAAAAAAATTCCTGGATCCGCCCCCTGATTCGGATCCACACCGAAATTTAATGGGTTCTTCCGTGACCCATCCCACTTTCTGCCACCAAGTTTTGTGTTAATCCGTCCAGTGGTTTCTGCGTAATCCTGCTTAAATCAAATGGACAAGGGTGAAAACTGAGGTAATAATGCAGAGTTGTAATGATTACACAATTAATCGATTAGAATCAAAATTAAACTAAAATTATTTGATAATTGATTAATTGTTTCAAAAAAAATTTAATAGGCTAAAACGCAAAATATTTCTTCTTTCTTCTTCTAATAAATGAGGACTCGTCTTCATCAGGCAGAAAATGAACACACATAAAATGTGTAACCATCAGCTCTAAGAAATCGTGGTGTTTTTTTCCCCCACTTAAAATTTAAATGAGAAAATGGCAGATTTTTTTTATCATTGCGCGAAGTGGATTTCATAGTTAAAGACTGCAGGTATAAAAATGAGTGTAAAAAGAATTTCCCCTCGAGGGATCAATAAAGTACCTCTTCTTGAAAGGTGGTAAATCGTACATTTTTGAAGCTGCAAAATATGGAACCAGCTAACAGACGTTTCTGTAAATAACCACACACGTGATTTATTAGCTCTGACTTAACGACGTGGAAGCAGAAATAGCATCTGAACAATAATTGTTTTATAGTAGCGGAGGCGTAAAGCACTGATTTACCTTCTGTCTATAAATTCAACGTTTATAAATAATACCTTGTTTTTGCAGAGTTACAACAGAAACAGAGAGAGCTGATGACGGCAGCAGCCGCCATGGAACAGGTCATCTCAGTGCTGAAGAGATAAGTCCGTCTTTTTATTTAAACTTTAACTTCTTTTGCATGTCAAATTATGAACTTTTATATTTAAAAATTTTTAAATGTATATTAGATTTTTATATATGCAACAGTGGGAAGGGCTGTAAAACTACTTGATCTTGCTGATGATGATGACGATGTTACAGCTTCATCTAGAAAATGTTACACACAAATAGAATTTTGATGTGAGTTAAGAATAATACATTTCAAATGTGTTTCATATCCAACCCAGTAAACTGAATGTAGCTCGCCTGATATGTAGATCTGTGTATTTGAGAATATCTCACAACCTTGTTACGTCACTCATGTGTTCATCTTAAACCAAACTAGTGAAAACTGACTGTAAAGCTTTAATAATAATAATAATAATAATAATGTGGCAGTTTACAGCCGAGCATTTAGCCGTTGAGTCCAATTTTGGTTTGTTTGCGTGAAAGATGGAAGGATGGACGCCTACTAGGCCTTGTCTTTTTTGTTTTTTTGTTTTCCATTGTTACACACTTTCCTTGAAATTTAAATTTTAAAAAAAAGTGTTTTTTGAGGTCACATTGTAATCGATTCACGTGTCTGAAACCATCATGTTCTCCATTAAAAACCATCTCATGTACAGAAAACAAACACAGATCGTTCTTTTCATCTCTTTACTTGCAGGTCACAACATGTCACTGGCACCTCATAAATCAGCATCAATCAATAAAACATTATTGATTTTAAATGAGAAACGTTCTGCATAGAACTGAGCAAATCCTTAAGCATCCACAGCAGAAGTGCAAAACTGCAAATGTAACCAAACAAAGTCAATAATGTTAATACTGTAAAATAATGCGTCCAACATCCAGTCGATCCCTCAGAGCCTGAAAGTCCCGCTCAGCCGAAGCTTCTGAAAACACCACGTGTTTTAAACAGGTTTTTAATGGCTCCGTACATTTCTTACAGCCACTTATTGGTTTTGTGCAATATAAAAAACTAAATAGCTGCACAAAATATAACTTTCCAACCTAAGCAACCCTTAACATTACAGAGAGAATCCACAGTTAAAGCCTGGAGACTCTGTTTTAACAACCTAAGCACATGGTCTACAGCGTGTGGAGCTTTTACAAAGTGTCTACATCCACTTTTGCTTTGATTCAAAAGTGTTGCACTTAAATCACATTTTAAATCATGGATGTGTTTTGTTTTTTTTAGCATAACGTGGCAATACACCAATGAGAGTCATGTCCAGGTGCACGTGAAGCGGGTCCAAGTGCATATTTACTATTCTGATAATGTGCCTCAAGACTACGATGCCTCTGACCTTATTTTAAGATCAAGACGCTCGCAGGGGCGTAAGTGCATTTTCAATTTAAAAGCTTAGATGCTGGACATGATAACTGTGTTGGTCTGAAACTAGCACAGACACCTGGGGTCGTGCTCAGTGTCGCGTTGCGTCAGGTGTGAGTTAAGGCCCTTAACTGCACTGAATCTCACTTGTAACCCGAGTTTCCAACTTTGGGTCAAATTACAACCAAGACACAGGATCACAGTCTGGCGTCAAAGCTTTGGAAGCAACTCAGGAGGTAAACAAAAGGGTCGGTGGTTCGATACCAGCTTCTGGTCCTACACTGCGTTCTGAAGTGTCCTTGGGGAAGATACCGAACACCGAATTTCCCAATTGCTGTTCCGACAATATGTGAAAGAAAAGGCGCAGTATGAATGTGTGCATAAATGGATGACAGTGACTTGTATTGTAAAATGTTTGAGTGGTTGATAAGACTTGAAAAGCTCCATATAAATACATCAAATGTATCATTTGATATGTCAGTGTTCAGTCATCAGAAGACATCTACAACCTGATACCAGAGGCTGCATCCAAACTAATGTGGTCTTTCAATAAAGCAAAACATAATCATTTTAAAAACACGAGTGCAAACGCTACAGGAGAGTCTTGGTCAGTTCAACAGAAAAATGAAAAAAGTAAAGTAGCAAACTGGCAGAAAAATCTCAAGTTAAAAAGAAACAACTTGATCAAGCGATAAGTGTGTTTTCCTTTACACAACATGTGTAAGTGTGTAGGCAGTCAGGCACTGTGGCTCTGGACTCTGCAGTCATGCTGCCCTGTCAGCTCTGTGCTCAGCTCAGTGAGTCAGCTCATATAATGGACAAAGTGGTTCTAGTCTGGAATGAGAGGAGCGACAGATTTGACAGCAATGGTGATTATCTAAAGATCTCCACTCTGGAGCCAGAGTTACAGAAGGGATGACATCCTTTGAGAATTTTCTCCCAGAATGCCACAGCCCCCTCTCCGTCTGTTGCCATCGTTACCTCGGGCTGAGGTCAGTTTTTGAAGGCTCCGCAGCGGCTGGCTCGACAAATGAAATCCTTGAGCAAGTTGCCGTCGATCTGCCAGAAAGCAGCAGTCTGGGTGACCTCGGTCAGGTGATTCACGCAGAACTTGAAGCAGAACTCCTCCAGGTCCTGGAAGACAGAGAAGAGCAGAAATAACCAAAATTCTTTAAATGATTCCTGATTCTTCTTGACATCACAAATCTTTGGTTGTTGATAAGATAGATAGATAGATAGATAGATAGATAGATAGATAGATAGATAGATAGATAGATAGATA